GTATGATACAGTATTTTTTCTTGACTATGCAAACCTTAATATTAACATGGCTTTTCATAATTTTTTACTCTTGAAACCTATATACAAATTATGTCAAATAAAAGGTAAATGAAATTGGAAAACCAAGTTCATTTATACTTTGTATTAGACAATATATTAAACTTGATCTGAATAAAAGGATATTTCAGCTTCTGATGCTGCATGGGTTAGCTGTTCAGGTGATATCTCAACTCTGTCTTTGCGTTTGTCAGACCTTCGCAACATAATAACTGAAACAATGTGTACAACTCGATTTGTGTCAACCTAAAATATATAAATTAACAATAACAGTTTCATCAGGTTAATAATAAATAAGTACTTGATATACAATACCTCCTATCTTTTTCATGTAATTGGAAAAAAAATTGGGAACATGGAATAACCTTACAAAAGGAGAAGAATTGGTTTCAGAATAATAGACCCCAAGAGTTTACATTGGCCTAGCAGGGATGCTGCCGCCACACTCCACTGGGAATGAAACTGTTTTACAATGTTAATTTGTTTTTTATGCTCTATGATTTTGCATTAAATTTTGATTAAAAATGTACTGTTCCTCTTATATGAAAAGAAAACACAGGTACTGAGGAAAAATGCCATGACTATTAACAACCCAGTCACTATGAGTGGCAAACCACTAGAGGATGTGCAGGAGTTTACCTACCTGGGCAGTAAGATGACAGATGGCGACTGCGACGAAGAGGTAAACACCAGGATCAGCAAAGCCAAGTATCCTCCTTTTAACGGATCGGAGTGCTGGAAAGCCACTGCCGCTACTGGAAGTGTTCAAAAACAAATGCATGCGGCGCATCCTCAGAATCTACTGGCCAAATATCATTTCAAATGAACAACTCCGGAGCAAAACAGAAACAGTGCCCATACAAGAACAAATACAGATGCGTCGTTGGAATTGGTTAGGACATGTCTGTCGCATGCCACCTGCCTAGCTACCGAGAACAGCACTACGATGGACCCCACAAGGGAAAAGAAACGTGGACAGCCAAAAGAAACCTGGCGTAGAACCATTGTGAAAGACTTAAAGACGAAAGGACCTAGTCTTGAGACAGCCCTCAAAATTGCACCAGACAGAAATAAGTGGAGATCCTTTGCGTCGCCTCAAGCGCCAGATGGTACAGAAGAGGATGTAAAAGAAAGTTCCTCACAAATGGTTGTATTTTTAAATTGAACTGCTTACTTATAATGATCACGAAAGTTAAGAACAGTCAAAGAAAGGTCGCCTTACGACATTCTCCCCTAATGAAACTTTGTTTTTTAAAATAGGACCTCTCAATGGCAGGAAATGGCACTCTCAGACTTTAAATGTAAATTTGATAAAATTCAAATGTTACTATACTCTGAAACTCAACTCAATAAATATACATTGCATTTCATTTTATTAGGCCTATTCAGTTTTTTTTTGTTTTTTGTTTTTTTGGTCCGACTTCCCGAGGAGCTCTGGTCGTTGGGGGAGCTTGTCATGTCCGATGGAGAGCTTAAGCCCCTGCCAAACTCCCCCTCCCGGACTGGCACAGTCACTGGTGATACTGTATATTTAAATTTAACACAGGAAAAGGTAGGGAGTTGGATAGGATAAAGGATAGGATAATTAGTACACTACATACAAAAATAGCTAGGCCTAGGCCTAGATCTGACCTAGTAGGCGGTCCCTACTTGGGCCTACCAAAATAAAGAAATTGTAAAAATGTGTCAAGCTCAGAAGCAAGCTAATGAAGCATTAACCCTTTCCAGTCTGCCCCATTACCATTGCCTGAGGCTAAAGCTGGGAAATTACATCATCTATTGTACACTAATGTCGGGTTTTTACTGGGCGCAAGCATTTTATTTAGTCTGAATACAGGAGGCCCTCTACAGAAATACTTCTACATCACACTCAAAAAATCCTATAGAGGGCAGCCTTCGGTATAAAATAGTTATAAAAGCTATACAGGACGTACGTACAGTACAACGCCCTCGCAATAAAGGACCATAAGGATCACGGTCTGTTTTCATTCCTTTATTGAATTGAACCATTTGAATCTCTCATTTTTCTTGTTATTTAACAGCAAGGGAACATCCTCGACATCATCGTCTGCACTTGCCATTGCTGACGTCGTTCCACTTGGTTGCTTACACTGACTCCACAACTAATCAATTTCTTGTTCCCCAGACGCGGTGTGAACACAACAACCGGAAATTGTAACCGGGACTGGAATCCGGGCTTGATATGAACGTAGCTTTAGACTGACTTGTACTACTGTATGTTGCTGTCATCATGTTCTCTAATCAATTGTACATCATTGTTCAGAATACTCAAGGTGGACACGTCATCATCATTTGGAGAGATTGCCAATTTATTTTCAAAAAATTTCAATTTGTCTCACAATTTCTTTCTCTTGTTTTTGTGACATCCTTTTCTTATTTGCCAAATATGGAATTGTGATACCCCTAATTTTAAATTTAAAAACACCCCATAGAAGAGCATCGTCAATAGAAAATCCAACATTTTCTTTTTGTTGGTGATTAAAGTGTTTTTCACTGGCTAGAGAGTATTCATTTATAACATCATTTACACAATCTTTTACTTTTTTATATAAATTTCATCTTTCAGTAATGAGTTTTATTAAACTTCCAAAACCCTCTGCCATGCTCTGAATTATCACTTTCAATTTCTATATATACCACCGAGTGGTCAGTTCGATAACCATGACTTACTATTTTTAACAGCTGACAAAATATCCGTTGAAACTAAAATGTAACCCAATCTTGCTTGCTTCAAAGGCGTCGGTTGACGCCACGTGTAACATGTTATATTGGGGTGGGTTTCTCGCCAAATATCATGCAAATCATGAATTTGCATGATATTTGTAACCGATTGATTAGCCTATTGATTATTTTTATTTTTTCTCAAATACCTGTACATGTCTTTTTTATAATCTCAAACTACATTCCAATCCCCGCATTTAATTACAGAACCCACCTGGTTTTCGGCTTCTTCTATAATTTCTTCTAATCTATCGTAAAAATTATGATCATCCAGATTACTGTAGGACCATAAATATTTATAATATATAACATGTTATATATAGAATAAAATAATTAAAATGAAATGTAAATATTACTCAGTTTTTGCATCCTTTTTCTTCAATATGGTTGAAATGAAGTACACAGTATATTTTATTAAAATTCTAATCATTGTCGTGAAAATGGAATAAAATCTGACAATAATGTAACAATTTAAGCAATCTTAATAATTAAGAAAAGCACATATTAATGTTTAATTTTTTTTTTCACATTAAAACACTGACATAAAACATGAGTACATACTGTAGACCTAAATTAATCATAACAAATTGAAATAGAAAAACCACATTTTGATTTTTTAAATGTTAAAAATTTATTTTGAATCCGACTAAAATGAATGCACGATGGCGTGCATTTCGTTACTATTTTCTTTAGAACCATGCCCAATAATTAGGCCCACGTTAAAATTAGGTGGGGCGCGTAGCATCTAGTATCAATTATCCACAATTGGTATTGTTGTTGTCGCTTCAGTCCATATTTGTTCGACCAATGGGAGGCTATGTGAATGGCAATGAATTTTTGTTTTTAATTTCAAAAATGATAATGATATCGGTAATGATATTTGCAAAATATTAGATTACATCCAAAATGACAATTACTTACTAACACTGAAACAATAACATTTGAAAAACAAAATATATGAAAATGTTGATGAAATTTAAAGAAAAACCCACGACGAAAACTATAGTAATAAGAATATTCATATTCGTAAAAATGAATACAGCAGTAGGCCTATAGACATAAAAATTGCCACTGAATATTTATAAAAACTGACAGGTCCGCTGATTAATCTCAGAACAGTATACATACAGTACTCCAAGTATTAAAATAGGCTACAATTCAACATTAATTACGTCTATGTCATCATCGGGAGCAGACTGGTTTCCCCCGGACATTTTGCCCATTGTCATTTTCAAATTTCTCCCGGACTTTTGCCACCCACCCCTTTACATATTCTCATATTTATATGAGTAGGCCTAATTATTGGGCATGGTTCTAAAGAAATAACGAAATGCACGCCATCGTGCATTCATTTTAGTCGGATTCAAAATAAATTTTTAACATTTAAAAAATCATAATGTGGTTTTTCTATTTCAATTTTTACATTTTATTTATT